TAGCATTCCTCAAACATAATTACCTCTGCTTTATACTTATATATGCATCAAAAAAATGGAATTCCCTCAAGCACTCTTCCCTCATTTCCAGTAGTTTGGCCAGGCCTAACTTCCCATATGCAGCAGGCTCCTCCATTAACCTATTCAGTTGTGCAAATTGATCAGTCGAAAAAGTTTAACCAAAATGAATACATTTTAAGTACTTATTCAGCTCAATGAGTATTATATAGACAAAATTGTACAAAAACATTATCCAATGGAACTTAGATTTAAAACATTCAAGTTTAGGACATGCTATGACCTACAAGAATAAGAGACCAGTAAAATTATCAAACCTTGAAAAGGCATATTATGACACGATAGAGAAAAATAACTTATTCATAATTAAGAGAGTAGAGGAGCATAGATGGGAACTCAATCATATAGTTGATCATCTGAAGACAACCAAGAATATAAATTGTGCGAGAAAAATAACTTATGCATAATTAGAGAGACAGTAAAGGAGCATAGATGGAAACTCAATCACATTGTTGATCATCTGAAGACAACAGAGAATATAAATTGTGCTGATCTGACAATGTTTAGAATGTCACTGAGGTAGTATAAACATAAAAATCAACTCAAATTATGATCATATGGAAAAGTCATACTGACAAGTAACACTAACCGTCAAGAACCAAATAGCAGGTCATGGATTAAAAATATCATTTCCTTAACTTATTGTCATTTAACACACAATTAGGTCTTTTCTTCACAGGCTTTAATTGGAGAAGTGTGGGTGGTGGGACAAGGTTGAGAAAGATCAAAAGCAGAGTCAGGGAGTTCAGCAACTAAAGTGTGGCTTTTTCATATACTTCTTTTTGTTGATTTGAGTTTCTCAAAAACCATCAAATACTCCAGCAGAGTTTGACTCACTAAAAATCTTTTAAGAAGTTAAAAAAATTGATTGACCACAACAAAGTTCAAATAAATGGATTTTACAAAAAGTTAAAACTAATGCAACTGATCAAACCATTAAACAAATAGTCTCAAATGGTTCTTATATGTTTGCATCAGGATACGTGGATAGATAGCCTGACTTCAGTAACAGTAGTAAGCCATGAAAACAGCAATGTCATGCCAATATTACCTGGCCAGGTGGGCAGAAAATGCACGAGCAAAAGCATCACCCCTTCTTTTGGCATCATCAGTCCCACCTTCACTTGCTACAGCCTATCATATTTTAGTTGTGTCAATTGGGTGAAATGGGTAAATTTTGAATTGAATTATAATGTATGGGTTAAAAATAAATCATTAATTCATTCAATATAGATTGTTACAATATTTTTGTACCCAAACAACATAGAATTCAGGACTCATCCCTTAAAGGCTTACTTGGTGAAATATGTCAGATAGTTTCTTATCCATCTAATGACGAATAGTGATCCAATCAACCAACCCATTGATTTTTATTTTTATAATTGGATAGATTGATTCTATTTATACAATGATGGATTGGATGGTCGGTGGATAAATGAATTGAATTATCACCCTAATATTTTAGTTGAGAACCCCACATTCATATACCTCAGAGAAGTATGTCAAGCTATTATTTCTCCACAATGTACTTTTAAAAAAGCAAACATGACCACGAAAAAAATAAAATAAAATAAATAGCCAAATATATTTGGTACATATTATTAAATACTTCTAATTACTTATAAGAGCAAGCATTGAATTTTTTTTATTTTCATCTTTTCAGAAGAATTGTTTTTTCAATGACAATTTTCTACTATTATTTCCTTCACCAGTGCCTTCAGGATTCTAGCTTTCTCATAATTTATTTGGTACATATACTCTACTTAGAGAGGAAAGCTAAGTTTTTAGAAATTATTGTTGCTCATTCTTTTATGGGATAACCTGATCTTCTTGGCATCTTTATAGTGCCAACTGCTAAGGTAAGGTTGTCAGATTTTTTATAGAGGTTTCAATATTGAACATGCAGATAAACTGATGAGCTTTGCATAGTAAATTTGTCTTGGTCTTTATGCTTATTGGTTTCTTTAAAGAAGAAACCCGATCCCCTACTTTGTACTTTTCTTTCTTTATTATCTAACGTGTAGAAAAAATATTATTACTTGTTCAATAACAGTTTGGTTACTGAAATACATTTTAAACTTTTCATAAACAGACCATACAGACAATTATCTCATGCCTTAATTTCTTATCGTGTGAAAGGATGTTATTATCTAATTGTATTGCATTTGTAACATACGAAGAGACAAAAAATGATAAAAAAGTCTAGGTGTTTCAAGACAGCACAGTTACCTTGTCCACAAGATCTGGCAAGTGCTCTGACAAAATCTTTAGCCAATACCTACATAAGATACAGATTTTGCATTAGCCACACAAGCCAAGCACTAGAGACAATTGAAGCCTTGATTGACAATTATGTTAAAAGTTGTTAACATAGTGTGCTTACTCTAACTCACTGTGATCTGAGAGATCAATAGTATTAGGCTCATACCTGTAGATGCATAATTTATGTTAAAAACTAGATTAATAGAATAATGATAACAAAAAGCCAGAGTGTTGAGTATCATGCATACATTTTCAGGTCAGCTAATAATGGAAACACCTCCAAAGTGGGAACTAGATGGAGGACACCAACATTTAGAGCACTAGCATCAGATCGCAGAGTACTTCCTTTTGACAAAGGAACTTCAAAACCCCCAAGTCCAGTAGTTCCAGGAGGAGCCATCGGCACAGGGGCAGTGATCTCAGTTCCCTTCTGCAGAAACTTATCCATCCATGAAATCTGCAATAGAATTGCTAAAATCATAAAATTTCCTAACAGATTGAGCTGTTTTCATATCATAAAATGAAGAACTAAAAAATGCCTCAGATGGCATACTGGTTTCTGAAACTTCTAAAGTTTAGTTCACTCAAAATGAAGCAACTAATCTGACAAGTGTTCAAAACCAATAACAAGGTTTAGCTGCCATGCTCATTGTGGGCATAGGCATACTTGTCAGTTACAATGTAACCCCTGCTCTTGCCATACATACTAATTCGAAGTTTGTCACCATCAATTGTTTAATTGATTCATTTATTCAAGAACTTCAAAATGAATCATAACACAGGAAACTGGTTAACTTCATAAGTACACCAAAACAAAGATCTCTTACTACACTTGATTTATTATCAACACACAAAAATAAAAAGCCTGATGAAAGAAAAGACAAATTAATAAATGGATGTTGACAGAACAATAATCATATTAAACATAAAAGCAATAATCAAATGGCAAAAAACAAATTTTTTTTAGGGATTTAACAGAACAATAATCAAATTAAACATAAATGCAATGAAAAAGGAGTGTTTCACAAGCTTGACTCGTTAGAAATATTTACTATTGTCAAGGATGTTGACACAGTAAACAATTTTTCATTCCTGTCCTTTTCACATAATAACTACTTTCTCCATATTTAAAGCTTTACATTATTCACTTCTAGATTCTGTATTTTGTCTTTAATTAGTAGGCAACTATTCCAATACCATTCAATATGATTCCTTACAATGGATGATATGACAAACTATTTATTAGAGAAGAGAATAGGATAATAAATACTTTTATTTGTTGTATTATTTACATGTATTCAAATGTATTCTTCTGCTTGTATTTGCTAACACTTTTAGGTTAGTTAGTCTTGTTGACTTACTAACTCTTGAGTTAGTTAAGTCCGTTAGGTCTATATATGTAGGTGATACCTCTCGTGTATCACTTTATCAAATTCTCTATTATTCAATAATATTTTCCTTAAGAAATCTTCTTTCAATTCTTTCTCTCATACTATTCCAGGGAATCTCACTAATGGAGTTAATTTAGTAATTTTATTATTGCTTCAAGGGAAACTCAAGCCCTTAACACAATATAGTGGGACATTGCTGATGGTACCAAAATTAATAGCCAAATAAATCAATCTCATTAATTTGGCTTCCAGTTTACACCATAGCTTAGAGTTAGAACACATTTAATTAGATCATCTTTCTCAAACAGATGACCAGCAAACATCAAGGTTTTTCAATTGCTCTCACTTGCCTTCTCATTCAAATCCCTAAGTGGGGGGCCATGAATCTTGCCTCCTGTATATGGAGCACCCATCGGGAATCTTTCAACTAACTGATGCACCATGAGGTCATCTAAACCGTGTTTTTCATAGCTCATAAATGCACCTAAAGCTCCCAAAAATCCTTCATGTCGCAAGAACATTGCTTGTGCATCCCCTTTAGACCTGAATGACAAATATATAAATCTTGACACAATATAACAATTAAATCAAAATAAAATATATATAAAAAATTACTACGACAAATCATTAGACAATATATGTACCAGAAATGAATTGCAAAAGAAATAGCATCCATGGTATAGGCATGACCCCTTATAAAAAATCCTCCAAAAAAGATACGCTTCAACCCGAACCGCAAAGCATTCAAGTAGGATATCTACACGGAAGGGATAAAAAGAACACAATTGGTAAGTACCCAATGGAAGAACAAATAGTGGAACAGAACATGATAACTGCTGATGGAAGATAATCCCGATATTGCCAGAAAGCATGTTCTAGAGCTAGTCTCATGGGTAACCTTCATCATTAGAGATGTGTCTCCGTGTCTTTTCTTGTTGTAGGTGGGTAAAAAAGAACTTTTTTAAGGAAAACATTTCTAAAGAAAATAACATATTTCAAAATCAACACCCTATCATTTAAATTTTAACCAAATAAAAGGTTTACAGTTTCTGAAAAAACTAATGTACATTTTTTAACACAAAATTAATAGCTATTGCAACAAAAATTAAATGTTTACTTTTACGGAAAACATTTCTAAAGAAAATAGCATATTTCAAAATCAGCATTCTATCATTTAAATTTTAACCAAATAAAAGGTTTACAGTTTCTGAAAAAACTAATGTACATTTTTTAACAAATAATTAATAGCTATTGCAACAAAAATTAAATGTTTACTTTTACGGAGAAACTCTATTAAGGATACATTCTTTCATTCAATATGTGTATATTTAAATTGAAATTTAACAATATTGAATTAAGTAAACACAAAGAACTGCATATTGTTTGCACAACTAAATTATCCAAAAAGTACTCGAGATTTCAAATAATGAACTTTCAAGCATGAATAAGCTGAATGAGACAGTACAACCATTAGCCCAGATGTATCACAAACTGTATGCACTTTTCCAGCTTGAATTTATAGATGTAAAAAAGATAAAATTACAATAGCTAGCTCACCTGGGCAATGTTGTACGAAATCATTCGCAGAAGAGAGAGTGATATATCTTCAGGTCTGTAATCTTCAAGCTCCTTTTTTTCTGAGGTAGCCTTGCCAAAACTTGAAGCAATGGTAGAAGCCGATAGGCCAATCTAGGGTTATTTAATACCAGTAAATACTAAGTTATGATTGACGAAAAACATATCACATGACTCATCAGTATAATCCAGATATTAAGTTAATTTGGAGCATTTTCAAAATATAGGATAAATATCATATGGCGATGAACAACTGCAAAATTTACCTTAGAATAGTCCATACCACCATAAATGTCCCCAACAAGCATATCAGTGTTACTATTATCTCCTTTCTGACTCAGCTCAAGTAACTCATCAAAGCTGGAACTCATTTCAACAAACCCTTTGGCAATAGTTCAAAAAACAGCAGTAGATAAGGGGAAAAAATGGAGAATTATCAGAAAAATGACCTCTCACACTTTGTTAACAGCCTTCCCAGGCCCCAATAAGTACCACCACCAACATTAGTCCCACTGACCCTCTCAAATTTTCCATCCCCATCAACCTGTGTTAACCCAGATTATAAGTTTAAAACTAAAGATTACCAACAGTTTGTCTTTATGAAAGATAAACCAAATAGATCAGCAAGTTAAAAACATTGAGAAAACTGGACAAATATACCTTGATCATACTAACACCAGATCCAATATTAACTAGGAGATAAGGAAACATGTCATTAGGATCAATCTGAACAAACTCTTTCTGACCCTCCATGTGGGTAAAAGCTTCATGACGAATTGCCTACTAAGAAATGGTACAACATCTATTCAGCAATTATCAATATAAGTCAGCAAGAATTCTTGTTTTCTTTTAACAGAGAAGAGATCTATCTCAATCAATCAGATCATGGTTAACAGCAAGAAATGCAAGAAGGAAAAGGAAAAAATAGTTGTCAGCTATAGTTATGTAAAAATTATGTGAAAGTGAAACATTAAACTTCAGTCATATTCTCCTTTAATCAATTCACCAATAAAACAGTGCACCAATGAGTATGAATAAACTTTATATAATGGTTTTCCTGCACTCTATGGAAGTAATAGCATGCCAATCTTGGCAATTGATTGGCTCTTTTCCTTCCTAAACAAGGCGAAGCATTATAATAATATAATCTATACTCTGTATAAAGAAGAAAAGTCATTTCTTTATCATAATTATTGTGCAAGGAAAGGAAGATAATGCATGAGAGGTAGACTTGAACATACATTTCAATTCAGAAGATGCTAGGTTTTGTCACTATCAATATTATTTTTAAACAAAATACAAGAGAAACAGATGATTCCAAGAGGTTGATCCACCTTAAGCAAGAAATTTGCTCCTGCGACAAGACAGCTCATTTCATCTTCTTTGTCAAGACTAAGTCCAAGTCTTTCTTTGAAAAGGTCAGCAAATTTGTGCGCTCCACCACCAGTAGCCTTTGTCACAAAATAAATGCATTAATGGAGAAGTTCAATGGTATTAACACGGAACAAGCAGTAATGAATTACACATTATCTATAATCATAGTTCTTTTGTACAAAAGGGAAGAGGGACTCAGCTAATTATCATTTTCGCAATAACTACTTCCAAATTTGATAAGCAGGACATAGACTATAGCCCTTGCACATGCAAGCATCAACCTAAGACAAAATAACTTGTTTCACTACAACACAAGAATAAACAACCCAGGTTCTGAAAATGTAAATATAGTCAGAGAATCTAAGTTACCTTAATTATGGCATTGGAATCAGTCGTGGCATCAGAATAACGTGATTCACCTCCTGTAGAAAAAGAAAAAAGTCCATATTTTTGACTAAGTTCTGAAAGTAGTTGAATTAACACATGAGAAACAACAAAACTACAAAATGATACTCAAACTCAAATCATGTGGTAATGTTTTAGCAGTCCAATGTGATAGTGAAGAGACAGATAAACGTCAAAGAAGTAAATTAAACAAAACAGTAATACCACCACAGTGAAGCTGCTTTGAATAAATGAAGTCTAAGCACTCGTTAATCTTGCTAGTCTCAAACTTGACAAAATGAAGCCTTCCACCAAGAATGGGATAGCTTCTCCTGTTACCATCCAGTCGATTCTTCACATTTCTCATCCTTTTATCATGGGTTGATTGGTCTTCGTGTCTCGAAAAGTACATCAACTTTATAAGAGATCCTACACATACAATTTTTTCAAAAAAATCTCAAGTTCCAGCCATATTTCAAGAGTCAGACGTCGTTCAGGGGAAAACTCCAATTGCGACCGCTTAAATTTCAATTATAAAAGAATGATATAGCACAGAAAGCAAGATTGCAAATAAAACAGTTAGCGTTCGACAAATAAAATAAAGGATGAAGCCACTATCATGCTTCCGCCACCATATGGGAAGTGGCGGAAGCATTATAATAAAACGAAATTAGGAATAATTAAGAAAATAAAAGGAACGAACAAAGAAGTATGAATCTGAATTTGTTGTTCTATGATACCTCCAATGTCAAGAGCGAGGTGAGATATATCATGAGATTGATTGGGTAACAAAATAGTTGGATATTTCTCTTCGACGTTTCCTTGAATTTCAGCTTTGCTGAGATCCAGTTGAGGGCGTGAACTCGACCTATGCATTGAATTGTTGCCCGTGTGCGCCATCTCTCTCTGAGTCTGAGTTTCAACGTCAAAAACGTTTATCCTTGTCTCGCGTAATTGCAATGTGTTGAGCCCGCCTTATAAAGAAGATCCATTCGACTTGACCCAGCTACTCCTACAGTTAGTCAACCAGTTACCGTAACCCCACCTAACTTGCCTTAATTGATCAATGGATCAGTAAATGCAATTTTCACCCCTCCCTAATCTCAAGAAGCCTTTTACGGTAAATTTCTCAGCATCAGTAACGCATGAAACTTGCAGTTTAATATAATTACTGTCTATGGAATTTTGGGTCTTTGACCCTTTGACGATGAATGGAATACGTAAGCCATGCCGTATTAAATGATGCAAAACAGTAGCCAAACAAAATCCACATAAATTATTTCGTGTCAACGTGGGAATTGGATTTTTTTCATGTGCATGGGTGAGACTCGGAATTTTTTATTTTTATTTTTTTTAACAGAGGGCAATGAACTTAACACTTCCTGCGTGCACACTTAACACCCTAAAACCTAAACCTAAGGCTTCGCACACACCTTCAAAATTAAATGAGGCGTTCGAATAAATTTAGGTTTAGTTTTTTCTTTTACTTATTTTTAACCTTAATTTCATTTTTGGTCCCAATAATTTTAATGCGTAATTTTGATCTTAAAAAACTTTTTTTATATTATAAATTTGCTTCCTCTAATTTTAAAATTTAGCTATTAGTCTAAATTAGTCTATCATGAACATATTATTAAAATTTAAACAAAAAAAAATGTTCACGTAGAACATGAATGGCTCTGTTTGATAATTAGGGATCCAGACTTTAAAATATATAAATTGCTTTAAAATAAAGTTTAAATTTAACCTATTATCAATCATAAACATTTTTTTTATAAGTATAACATAATCTTTTTAAAGTCTATCATAATCTATTAACTTTTTTAAAAGCCTATTTAAATTATTAATTATAATTAGGTCAATAAATTTAATTTTTAAAAATTAATAAAAATTATTTTTAAAATATAATTTACCCAATATTATTAAAATTTAAATTTTAAAAGAAATATAGGAAAAAGTTGAATCATTTTCTATTGAAGGAGATATTCATATGTAATTATGTATGTTGATGTATACTCATCCACATGCCATAAATTTATAAACCTATAATGAAAAAATTATTAAAAAAAATATTTTAAATATTGATGATTTAATTTTGTTTTATAAATTTATTTATTTATATTTTTAATAATATATATTGATTTTTTATTATATTATATAAATAAATAGATTAATCTAACAAGTTTTTTCTATAAAGTCCCCGACCATTTTTATATAAATAAATTTGTTTTTTTAATTTAAATTTTATCTTTTTATTAAATAGGTTAGATTAAACTAAACTTTAAAGAGGTCAGACTTTAAAGAGTCAGGCGATAGGATAGACCTCTATTTAAAGCCTGACTTATTCTTAAACCTATTCCTATTTCCATTGACAATTAATAAATCATGCTAACTTTTATATAAAGAACAATATTGGTTTTATTACATGTGTTATATATATTTTTTATTTCAACTAAAAGTTATAATTTATTTTTTAAAAAAAATTAATTTTAATATTATTATTTTCATACATAACATTCCACGTCAATATTTTCCATTTTATTTTATACATATTAAATATGGACCAATAAACTTAATTTTGAAATAGAGAGACTAAATTTGTAATAAAAAAAGAGTTATCACCTATACACTAGCAGTGGAAAGTTTTTTTACACTACCAACCAATCATATCTCTTAATAGTGCCATATCATTTGCTCATTTAATCAAATAAAAATAAAATAAAATAATTTAAAAGATATGATTAGTTGTCGGTGTAAAAAAATTTTACACTAACAGTGTATAGATGATTAATTCATAAAAAAATTATGATCTAAAATTACACCTTCAAAAATTATAAGGACTATACTAGAAGGGTCTAGTTGAGGCGTAAAGTTGAACACTTCAAATCTTATTAAGGACTAAATAAATTTACAAATAACTTAAAAGCATTATTGAACGTAATTAAGTAAATAATGAGTTTGTCATCAAAATTCTAACCTAAAAAGATTAATATAAAATAATAACATATTAAAATAGATAAATATTTTTTACATTTATTATAACATTAATTATGTTAACCTATTTGAGATCGATGATTAATTTTAAAATGTTTTTTACAAAATATTCTCCTTTTATTTTATGAGACAAGTATGCTAAATGACTGACTACCTATACATATGACACATAGAGTCTCTATATAATTCAATGGATAGTCTTGGGATTCATGTCCAAACAACAATCTTTCTTACTTCTTTCTTAGATGTTGTGAAGGACGGTGTCCAATGTTGAACCTCCATTTAAGGATCTATTAGAGCAACTCCAATGGAAGTTGCTTGTCCCATGAAGCAATTCAAGTCCCGGTTTCTTGCCATCGGAGGACTCTGACATGACAACATGAGTTGCTTGAAGAAAACAAAGAGTTACTTCCTGAAGCAACAGTTCCTTACTAGATTTTGGGAACGTTTTAAAAATAATAATGATGAAAATTAATTTCGTATAATCTTTATGTATTTACTATTGCTTTATTTTATTTTTAATATCTACTTATTGTGTTTTTTTTTCGTAATTTATTTTCTTTAATTGTAATACAATTATCCTTTTTAATAATAATTTAAATTTGATTCATAAATGATTAGAAAAAAATTCTAAAAGTTGAATTTCTTAAATTTTTTTATCATTGAAGTAAATTTGTGTTTGAATTGCTTAATGCTGACATGACACACTAAAAATTACTTTTTTTATTTTTTAATACATGAAACAACTCAAATAAGTTGATTCCATTATAGATGTTCTTAGGTGTCAACGACTTTCCAATAAAGCATGTTGATAATATTTCGCACCTGATAATTGCACCAGATAATAATTATGCGACATATCTATAATTTTGAAAGAACCCTTAACTGTCAAATTTCTTATTACTATTTTCAATCATCTTGTAGCCGACTCTATCGCCTAAGACATTCACAATGAGAGAGTTTTTCCGAGGTTCACACTATTCTTTGAACTCATCTTTTGTGACGTGGATCTTGGGGCATGGATCCAATTCTTTTGCGTCATTCATGAGCATTTCTTGATCATATATATATATGTTCCTCGGGCAAGATAAAATCGTTAACATAAACTTGGGAATTCCATGAAAGATTTTGATCTTCTTCCTGTAGTTTATCTTTGTAGGAGATTGTAGGACGAAATGTGACAAGCGGGGGATTGTTAATTATCAGACCATGTCCTCATTTATTTGCTACATCTTTTCCTTTAGTCTTTACTTTCTTTGTGCTATAGGATAAGGGATCTTCTTCCTCATTGGAGAATGATTTAGGAACAGAGCACACCAAAGTCATTAGAGTGTTTTCTCATCCTAAAATCAGGTGAATAGTGACTAATATTTTTTTTTTAAAATACTATTCTGATATGTAATTTAATTTTTAAAAATCATTAGTTACTTTTTTAATTTTTATTTTATTTATAGTCAATATTTAATTTATAATTTTAAAATTTTAAAATGAGACAACATCTTATAAGTGTTTAATTAATAATACATCCAAAGATTTTAAAATTATATAAATACCTATTAATATATATATATATACATACAAATATAATAATTTTAATTAAATTGTTTGTCCATACAGACTCTAAACCCATTTAAAAGTGAATAAAATAAAAAAGATAAAAATAAAATTCATAAGTGAATGTAGTAAAAAAGATAAAAATAAAATTCATCAACTTCCATATCATTCAAATGATTATTATGTTTTTATTTTGTTTAAAACATATATTTGATGAACTCTTAATACTTGTGATTAAACAACTTGAATCATGTTTTAATTGTGTTAAACATTATCTTATTATAAAAAATGCAGCGTTAAATAATATTCTTAAACTTAATTATTTATAATCATTATTCAGAATTTTATATTTTATAACTCTTAAATAATACTATAATAAATATAAATTAAAATAAAAACAAGTTTGCAAGTTCACCAAATTAGATGCCAATAAATAATAAATAATAAATAAAATGTTGTAAAAGGAAAAGAGCCGTGGGGGCTCTGAGTCTAGCGAGTAGCGACGACGCATATCAATTACCAAAAAAGCAAAACCCTGCTTCTTAAACCCTAATCAACCGTCTCTGAGTCACAGTAGCTGCAGTTTCCCAATGGAGTCCCTCCGATTCAAGACGAACTACCGCTGCGTCCCCGCTCTGCAGCAGTTCTACACCGGCGGCCCCTTCGTCGTCTCGTCGGATTCCTCCTTCATCGCCTGCGCCTGCGGCGACTCTATCAAAATCGTGGATTCCGCCACCGCCTCCATTCGCTCCACCCTCGACGCCGACTCCGAACCCGTCACCGCCTTGGCTCTCAGCCCCAACGACGC